CCTTTCTAAGGAGCACTGGAGATCAGTTTCGGAAGATGCTAATAAAACAAGGTCGTCTGCAAACAGCAATTTGACCATTATTTAGAAAAAAATATTTTCATTATCCCTGACCCGATTGTCCAAATAAGGAAGAAAACTCATTTATGAGTACTGAAACATACCAATAGTGCTGTACAGGATAAGTCGACGACGTCCTAAGCGTTCGATCAGGTAGATGCCGATAAACGTGCAAAAGAAGTTAACACCAGACGTGACCGACGTCATCCAAATGCTCATCGTTCTGCTGCGAATGCCCCCGGACTGGATAATCGATGCACTGTAGTACCTGAAATAATTACATTCAGTGTATCACATACAGAAATAGAAATAAAAATGAATTTAAAAAATAGGTAGTACACAAAAGAGGTTGTTAATGGTAAAAAATGGAGGAGAAAGAAAAACTCGTAACCGAGGAATATCGATCTTCCATAGACTTTCATGATAGGGCCAATTTTGGCGCCGCTTCTTCCATACAGATTACTGGTGGGGTGCTGAAGTCTATTTCCATATCATCAGCTGGGAGTTCCTCATTTTAAAGGCAAAATCTACGGCAGCAAAATGGCAGGCATAATATATAGTATTCTGTTTCCTTCATACAGATGGGTGCTCATTCATCAACCTAAGAAAGAAGAAAGTCAAGTGATGGTGACCGCTGAGTTAGCAATTCCGGTTTAAAGAAACATGTAGTGAATTCCTTGCTCAAGGGAATTTGTGATTAAGACAATGATTGCTCGTGCTAAGAACTTCAACGTGACATCTGCCATCAAAAGCCAACCGTCGGAAATCATACCATCTTCAAATGGAGCGAAAATCGAAGAGCAATTCAGAAAGTGGTTGTTCTTAATATCAATGACGAACAGATCTGAAGGCATCAACACTGTTTCCATGAGCCTTGACATACTTCTATCATATACTATACTATGTACTGTATTAGTATACTACATTAGTACATCATATACTGTATTAGTTAGAATACCGTAGAGAATCAAGCAATTTGACGATACTAGTCATGTATGCGGTCGTTCCGTTCAACACTGGTTTTACCATCATTAAGCAGCACAGTTTTGAGATATATGAAATAGTCAACTTCTTCCATCGCAATACCATTCTGTAGTGTCATCGTTCTTACGGTGGCGGTAAAGTAACAGTCAATGAATAGAATAATTGACAGAGTGCGGGCGTAAATGTAACCATGATGCATTCATCAGAAGTTTCCTGTTAATCATTGGTACCTCAAGGGTAAAAACTACATATCATTGGAAAATATGTTACCTTACCAGCAGTAAGGCCACGACTAATAAAACAAAATAAAATTAAACCGTCATTAATGAACTCATTACAAATCAAAACCGTTGACCGTCGTGTGATACTGCACTTACTGTAATGTAAGGATTTTTTCTTTGAAAGGTTGTTTGTGCATCAGTTTAAACTTTTAAGACTAAACCGCGCGTATGCAAGGCGGGGGTGATATTTCTGATTGCACTTGTCACTAATTATTTATAATACTAGACCAAATCGGTCAGAGAATACAACGGTAATCTCGGTCTAGTATTTGTTCATTGAATTCGTCGTCCGTTAGAAAAATGTGAAGTGGGCAACCATTATTCGCAGTCGATGAAAGTCGAGGTAAAAGTCACTCAGATCCCCGGTTAGCCACTCCTGCTCTGACAGACAGATGTTAGAATTGAGTTATTAAGCGCGGACTCACATAGCAAAACTCAAAAACCACAGGTAAGGGGCAGACCGATGATCAGACAGATCAGATGCGTTGAGCAACTGGCAATATCATGCCTGGGAACTCAACCAACGGAAGGTGCGAGGGATGTCAGCCTTGTTTTTCTTGACAAAAACTTGATGCACCATGAAAATACGAATAAACGAGCCCCATGACCCTGCATGTTTCGTGACTCGTTCAAGGGCGGAGGTTCAGTGTTCGAATGACGAAACGCGGCTAAGAATTCAAGATGAATAACGGACATCCGATTAACGGACCTGGACTTTCCTCACCGTTTGGATGTGCGGCTGTAGAACATCGGTGAGAGAAGAAACGTTAAACTTACTAACAGAGAGCCTGAGGAATGGTCTGCGATATCCTTCACCTCTTCGAGGCAGGAAGCGAATCACATTTTGAAGGCGAGAGTTAGATTTGGTTAGAAGAAAAGACATCGCGAAGAACATGACGTAGTGAGCAAAAGCTGGTCCCCAAAATTATCTCCTACCATGTGAAGCTACTGAAACTCGGTGTGCTGCGTCTGGAATTGAATAAAAGGAGAACATTGAACATCATCCACACCAATGCTTTCACAAACAGAACTGACCAAGATAAAGTGGAAGAATTCGATCAGGAAGTGGAGCAGGCATTGGTCAAGAGGTTCGCGTATTCCTTAGGCGATGAGGCCTCAATGTAATGGTCGGACGAGGTCGGGGAGGTGAGAAATTCATCGTTAGGTACGGCATTGGAGAACTGAATGGGCGAGAAGATTGGCTGATGACCATGGAAGATACGAAACACCACCAAGAAGTGGACATGGATCACGCCCAACGCTCGATCATCAAGCACCGGCAGTGGGGATAGTTTATTGCAGGTCAGGCTGGCCTGCCAGGAAACGATTGACAGATACTGCAGATGGCAAAATGAAGGTAACGACGGAAGGTATTCGACGAGCCAGTGCTTCAGGCACGCATTTCCAGGCAAGGCTAGAGTTTAAATGGTAGCTGCGGCGACGACTACACGTTAGCTAAGAAACTAAGGCGCAACGTAAAGTCAGATGAGACGGTAACATCAAAGAGAGCGAAAGAAAGCATGGCACAAGAGACAATGAGTTTGCAGCAGAATTGGAGAGGGATGAAAACAAATGGAACCAACATGGTAGAGTAGTCTCACCTCATTTCACAAAAACTGAAGGACAACACTGAGACCTTCAGATTGCGAAAATTAGAGAAAACAAGTGAAAATCGCATAAGCCTCATTACTGGAGAGAATTAGCGTTTTGTCAGTCGACCATCACGGTGTTGAAGAACGGAAATGGCGCAATAATATCTGACAGAGCTGAGACGCAGTCTCTCTATAAAAACGTTTACATCAAACCTTTTGTGTCAAAGACAGCGTCACCCTCCCTACCATCACTCGAATTGCAAGTAAAAAGTGCGCCTCCCTTCTTCATAAACAAAGTTCGGCATGCAGCCCAAAAATAAAGGAAGAAAGAGCCCAAAGAAAAGACAGTCTGACAAGTGAAACGGTCAAATCAGGTGATAGGACACCGAAGAAAGCTTTAGCGGAGAAGTTCAGCTGCTACCTGGAAATGAAGAGATGTCATCAAACTGGAATGAGACAAAAACAGTCATGTTGTTTAAGAACTGCAACATGGAAGATCTGAAGTACTACCATCCAAGCTACCTGCTGTCACAAGTCTGCAACCCTTTCACTGTGGTCATCAACAACAGACCTTCAGCAGTTCTGGACGAACAGCAGCCATGAAAACGGGCAGGATTCTGAAGAAGCCACTTCACTGAGGGATAGCATGTTTTCCTTCAATCAAAACCGTATGAGCGCATCCCAGCTCTCCCCCCCCG